TTTAAAGTAAAAGTAAGAAAACTGTTATTTTCAAAAGACTAAAACAGGAGTCTAATGAAAACTTAAAGGGGTTCGGAGCTTCTTATTAGCATTTTGGAAAGGGTTTGAAAGCACCCGAAATGCCCGTTAACGTGCGGTTATCCGACAATTAATTTATTTGGCTAAAAGTGAATTAACTTAACTTGAATTGAAACATAATACTATTTTATAATTAAGTCCATTTTATTTTATTTTTAAAAGGGGAAAAGGAAAGAATTGACTAAGTGAGATATTTTCCTTGCAAAAATTCTTTAAGTCCTTTTAAAGGTGATCGATTTAGTAAAATTATTAAAACGAAATAAGCGTCTTTCGGGGATTTGAATTTTTAACCTTAAGATTAATAACGGATATTAGCAAATAAACAAAATCAAAAAGATAAAGAGGGAAAGAGGCTTTGGGGGCCTAAGTCTGGTTTCTGTTTGCTTGGACCAGCACTTGGGCCTATTTTCGTTTTGAGCTTTTGGCCAAATTTTTTGCCGCCTTAGTACCTGTCCTAGACTAGATTTTGAAGTTTATTTCTTTGGGTTTTAGGCCCATCTTCCAACCGTCCTAAATTCTAACAGGTAATAATAAAATGACAAAGGCTTAGGCCCAAAAATAACAAAATACAATTTTGAATTTTGGGGCCTTTGGGCCCATTTTCCCATCTTCGTATACACTAGGCGTGTACTAGTGCATACAATCCTGTATCAACTCCAAACACCTGTACACCAACGTCAAAGGCCTATTCTTTGATTTTCGCAACTGGCCGACTCGATGAAGAAGGAATTTTGGGGCCTCCATGGCCCCCTTTGAAATGCAAAGATACAGTCCATGAGGACTCAGACAGATTCCACATACATAAAAAATGTAAACAGGTAAGAACCAATTCGGGTAAAATGTAAACATGTAAGAACCAATTCGGGTCATTGTGCATTGTAACCATACTATTACTGATAATATACACATGCAGGCACAAATTTTGGTATCCCCACAAAGAAATAAATAGACTTATAAAAATAAGAAAACAGACAAAGGGATGACCACCGAGATTTAATGAGGAGCAACTATTTTAATACTCAAGTTATCATACAATCTCGCATGTTAATTAAAACTATTATTTTTAACATATTGAACGCTGACTAGTGAACAAATGAATACTAAATCCATAATAATATCATTTAAGAATTGAAACAGAGGAATAGACCATCAATACAATAGACCAAAACCAGAACCGTACAACAGGTGACTAAGCTACTAAAATCAACCTTATACTAGAAAAATCAACATGCTATGCACACAATAGTCAAATGCTAAGAAACTCATGCTTCAGATTATCTCAAGGGCAAAAGTTTAAACTTTAACAGGACTAAGACATGAAAAGTAAAGAAAAGAAAATCATACTTCAAATGATCCTAAATACAAAACTCCAGCAAAACTAAGAATTGGCAAATAAAATCAAAAAAGAAAAAAGAAACTCATATTCTTACCAACTTAACTTGCAAATGTAAACATTTTTTAAGTTTTAACAAAATTAAGGTATTAGGTGGAAAGAGCAATAGACTTGATCAAAATGGATCATGTTAGGTAGTAGAAGAGATCGATACATGGAGCAAAATGCAAACAAAAGCAAACTGATTCAACAACATACTAATGAAAGCATCATAGCACGATGAGATGAAACAATAATAGCAACCAACGTTGAAACCAAAGGGGTATCAACCTTCAACGATTTCGAGCAAAAAATAACATTTTCGAACTTACAAATATAACAACTAGCCACCAACACCACACACATATCTATATCCTATATCGACAGAACTTAAAGGAAGAGCGGTAAATTGAATGAGAAATTATCATTCAAGTGGACACATAAACTCAGGCATAAGACATAAACCAAATGGAAAGAGGATCATGAAATTTATACAGTAATAGAAACACTATCAGCTAAGCCCCAATCTTAAAAAGAGAACAAGGAAACTGAGATCTCTGTCACATCTCTTGACGAAACAAATAGCAAAAACTTCAAGCAGAGCAAAGAAATACATACCATTAATATAAATAAACCTAACACATGCAGACTAAAACACAATTACAAATACCTTAACAGAGAAACGTAGAAGAACTAGGAATGAATCGAACGAAATTGAGAGAAGGGCGTTTACCTTATAATAGGCAGCGAACCGGAACGAACGAGCTAGCAATGACGAGTTTTCACCGCTGAAAAGTGATTCCAAAAATTCCGAGGAACAGATCGAAAGTAAATGAGAAGAGGACTCAGCGAAATCTAGATTCTCAGTCGATTCCGAACCTATAAGTACTTAAATATAAGTATATAACTAGAAATGTTTACTATATTTTCATCTCTAATGGCTGTTCATCCCCACATTTTCCAACTTTTCTGTATTTTCCCCCCTCAATGTGAGTTGTTTCCAACGTCTATTTTTTCTAACTTTCTCCCTCCAAATGAATTTTCTAACACCAAATTTCACTTCCGAAAAAATTCCCCCCTTACAAATGAATGGAAAAGATGTTATATAGAGGAAATTAGGGTAGATTTTTGGGGGGAATCCGGATGGAATTAGGGCCAACTTGAATTTCAAACTCAAAAATTATTTCACCATTTAAGGGAAACACCCTTTTTCCTGCAATTTTGACTCTTTCCGGAAGAGGAAAGGAGGGTAGACGCGTGCTCCCTTTGTTGTTACGATATTAAATGCGGATAAAGACGTTAGAGAAGAAAGAAAAATTCGCAGAGTACGTCTTGGACTGCTGTACTATTTCTCGCCTTTGTTGCTATCGTTGGGGTTGTGTTTGCCGTAGTGTATTGTTGTGAAGCTGGGTTTCTTTTTAGATTAAGGAAATGGCCGGGTCTGGAGTTATTTGGGTGGGCTGGATTGTTCTGGATTTTGCTGGACGATGACGGAAGAAGAAGACCAAACGTACAGGGGTCATTTGGTACTGCTGTATTATTATATTGTTGTGGAATGTAATGTATGGATTGTATGCTGCTGATGTATGTTGTATTGTTGGGTGGGTCTTTGGTATAAAATTGGTCCAGCTTTTGGGCTAAGGATGGGTTGGAATGGGGAGATTGGAAATTGGGCCAAAATTGGTCTCAAATTTGAGTTAGGGTGGGGGAATAAATGGCTAGAATTGCAATAAAGGGTTAGGTAGATGAGTTAACAATCTAGCCAAATTGAACTATTTTAGTTAATTCGGCTAGTAATTAAATAAGACGAATTAATATAATTAATTAACGAGCTTCTTAATTTTAGCGAAATAAAATAATTGGTTCAAATCTAAGATAATTAAACTAATTAACTAAAAATTACTATAATTCAAACTAAACTACATTAATAAAATATTTAGTTTAAAATGTGAAAATCTCCTGACATGACTTTAAAATATTTATAACGTATACTATATATATAATATGAAACACGTATATTTTAAAGATTATAAAAGTGACGAAACTATTTAAAATAATTTACAAATTATTTTATTTTTCTTAAGCTTGTATAACACTAATTATTTTATTTTTCTTAAGCTTGTATAACACTAATTATTTTATTTTTCTTAAGCTTGTATAACACTAATTATTTTATTTTTCTTAAGCTTGTATAACACTAATTATTTTATTTTTCTTAAGCTTGTATAACACTAATTATTTTATTTTTCTTAAGCTTGTATAACACTAATTATTTTATTTTTCTTAAGCTTGTATAACACTAATTATTTTATTTTTCTTAAGCTTGTATAACACTAATTATTTTATTTTTCTTAAGCTTGTATAACACTAATTATTTTA